TCAACTCCATTATATCCGAATGCAGTTTGTTTTAGTGCCAGGAGAATTTCATTCACATCAAATAATACAAATTCTGTCAGCTTCCCTGGCGATCTAGCCAGATGGCCTCGTTTTTCTGAACCCTGTTTTATTCTCCAAGAGCATGCTTCACCTGCCCTCCCACTGCTACAGATGAACTATCTGTCCATGCTCCTAAATCTCACCCTGTCCTTTATGCTTAATCCCATTTGTCCCGTGACTCAGAAATGGGACTCTAGCAATTTCTGCTTCTCTATCTCGCATCATCCCTCTTTCCCTCTCCAGATCATTAATACTAATGTACAAGCAGACTGTTATTTCTCCCATTTTTTTTAAAACTTATTCAACTTCCCCCTCCAGGTACTACCTGTGTTTTTCTGTGTTGAAAGAGCTGTTGCCCCTCCCTGCCTGTGTTCTCTTTCTCAAAGTTCTTCCCCTTCTCTTAAATCCACTCCTGTTGGCCTGTGCCTCTACTGCTTTGCTGAAACTACTCTTGTCAAGCAAACCAGTGTCCTCCTGGTAGCTTATCTTCCTTGACTACTGGAAACAGTTGACAGAGTTGATCACCCCCTCTTCGTGTCTCCACTCGGCCTCCCAGACCCTGGCAGCTCCTTCTCAACTTCTTCTATGATTCCTTGTTAATTTCCCTCCCCTCACTGGAGTATCCCAGGGCTAAATCCATGGGCTGTTTCTTCACTAGTTGAGTTCTCTCTTGGTAATCTCACCCAGTCTCATTTATTTCTTCAGCTTAGATTGAATTCCAGGCTTATGCATCTCTACTCAAGGTCTCCATGTGACCAGCCACCCCAGACTTAACGTGCTGGTAACTGAACACCTGACCTTCCCCCCGAGCTATGTTCTACCCTCTATAGCTATCTTCCCATTGCTCAAGCCAGAAGCCTTAGAAGTCAGCATTGGACTATGTTCTTCCTCTCACATTCCATATCCAATCCATAAGCAAATCCTGCTAACTAAACTCTCAAAATACAACCAGAATCTGACCACCTCTTGCCTCCATAGCTTCTACTCTGATCAAAGCTTCTTCCATCATCTCGCATCTGTATTACGGCAATAGCTTCCTACCTGGTCTCCCTGCTTTCACTTTGCCCTCCCGTAGTCTGTCCTAAACCCAGCAGCCAGGGTGCTCCTGTAGAAACAGAAGGCAGATCATGTAACTTCTTTGCTCCCAGTGATTTCCCAACTCCTTCAGCCTATGTTTCAAGTCTTCTCTGTGGCCTAAAAGGCTCAATTCATTTGGCCTCTGATTGATCTGACCTCATCTCCTGCCCCTTTACCCCTCACCCTTTCTACTCAAGCCATCCTGGCCTCCGTGCTAGACACACTCCTACCTCAGGGCCTTTGCACTGGCTGTTCTCTGTGACTACAACATGCTTCCCCTAGATATCCTCAATATTTGCTTCCTCTCTTTCTTC